AAACAAAACCACTTTACTACCTCTGTAAACAATTGTAAACAATTATAAGACATTCTAAATCACCAAATAGTGAACTAAAATGTTTTATATTTGTTCACAGAGGGAGTAACTTTTAACAATTACCTATTATATTGTACTGAATACAATACTTGTAACACGTCAAAAAAGAGAACATAATACTCGTAAAATATTGCGCGGGAGATAGATTGATCATACACAAAGAAATCTAATTAGGAAATTAGAAGGATAGCAATTAGCAGCAATGTTTAATTTATTTGGTTTTTTTTCAAAGAAACGTCTATTTAGTAAATTAATCCCTAGAAAAGTACTACCAGATTAATTAGGTTAATTATGCTGCTAGACGGCTGGACTGCAGGAGCAAAACGACGAGCGGCGGCAGGAGCCCTAGCTGGTGGAGCGATCTTGAAGATTAGACTAGCGACAGAAATATCATACTTGTAGGCTTTCCGGTCAAAGTGGGCAGATGGGCTACTATTTGGGCTTCGGTTAGTATGCCAAGTATTAACTTTGGGCTTAATTACTAATTAACCAGCTATTATCTACCCCCTGTCTCCGCCCCTGCGGATGAACCCACGCCACACGCCCATATACCTAGCTAATCTTGCTGCGCTTTCTCATGAAAAGTTTGTTCTTCTCTCCGTCATACTCGTGGGCAATCTGGACATCGAGACGAAAGGCTATATATGAGGCAATTTTTCAAGCCTTTCATGCAACACACGCTTTCATTACCCGCTTCATATCAGATTTGGAAGCAGTGAGAGTTCAAAAGCCGACCCGCCAAAGTACAACCAGCACTAGAATGGTCAGACAGAGACCGAAGGCGCTTCCAGCAAATTATGTTAAGATCCATGTCGATGCAGCTGTACGGACACATAGAGGGGGAACGGCGGTAGCTATTTGCAGGGACAACAATGGTGCCTTTTTGGGGAGCTCATCTTTGGTCATTGCGGGGATATGGGACCCAGCGACACTAGAAGCTATTACATGCCGGGAGGCTATGACCCTAGCGGAAGATCTTCATATTCAGCAAATGGTGGTTGCTTCAGATTGCAAGCAGGTTATTGAAGACATAACAAGAGGACACAAAGGGCTCCTATGGGTCGATCATTTCTGAAATTAAGTCCAGATCATTATCTTTCCAATGTAATTTCTCTTTCGAAGGTCATCATGTTAATTTAGAATCTCATAAGTTAGTTAGATTTTCTTTAAGTTTAGCTTTTGGTCGTCATGTTTGGCTTGGCCAGCCTCATGACACAACTTGTATCCCACTGAATGTGGTCTATGAATGAATAAAGGCTATCGCCCTAAAAAAAACCTAGCTAATCGAGGGTGTGGATCAATTAATAGTCATATGTTTATCTACTAATTCTCCCATGCGACGCCCTTTGCTTGCTTGCTTGCATGTTGAATAGTATTAAGAACTTACTCGTAGATATGGGCTCCATGCCTGCCTAGCTGACGGTGGACTTCCGAGGCCGCATGCCCAGATCAATGGTGAAGCTAGCTAGCTTGGTGTGAGGATGACAAGTAGGTGTGCATAAACGTACTTACGAAGTTGGAGCCATGTGGTTCGGGATGGCCAGTCGGGGGTGGCGGCCACGTACTAGTACTACTCCCATCATTCCACAATGTGGTGCTTTCTCTATCCACGTGCTTCAACTTTGACCGAAAATTTAACTACCAAGACCGATTGCGGCGGGAGCAAAAATTATATCAGTGAATTCGTATTTGAAAGAAGTTTTTAATTATATAATTTTTTCTTCCATCGCAGTTGGTCTCGTTGGTTAAATTTATGGTCAAAATTGAACCTCGCAAAACGCGGACGCACTATATTTTGGAATGGAGGGAGTACAACATAAGCGAGCGTGCCGCGAGCTTTTCGCGCGTGCGCATGCGTACAACATAAGATATGTACTCCTACTACTGTATATTTTTACCTTTTTTTCTCACAAAACGCATGCAGTAGTGCATCACCAGCCGGCGGGTTAATTTTCTTTTTGAAGGGGCGGCCGGTGGGTGGGTGGGTTAATTGAACTGCTCAACTATTCTAGCCTAATCTACCATACATAGTCGTATGCACGGACGAGTGTGCACCGCTCATCTCACGACAGGAGAGGATACACGCCGCTGATTAATTAATCAATTTGATCCTCCTTTGCTTCCGGTTTACTCCTGCTAGCTACTGATCCTGATCACTCGAGTGGGCATGTCTGTCGCTACAAACACATGGCACTGCTGCGCGCGCTGTGGATACAAACGCACGCAGGGTACGTAATGATGTGCATGCATGCTGCGCACTCTCTTCAAACACACTAGTCGCACGTACTAGTAGATGGTACCAATTCTAGCCACGTGACAAGTCCTCCCTGCACGTAGTAGTAGATGGTACCAATTCTGCGTAGTAGTAGATGGCGCCATGTTAGCGGTCTTGTCTTTGGCGATTTGTGTTGTTGGACTCCTTGAGCCCGAGCCGCAATGCCTTGGCATTTTTGCGGCCGACAGGGGTATGTTTGGGCAGTGGTCAATGGCGAACGGATAACACCGCAGACGAGATCCTCCTTTGAGTCGGAGGTCAAGGCAGCTGCCGACGTGGTTTTTGCCGCCGCCGGAGCTTGGGTATGGGTTGAATGAACATAAGGGGTGCCGGGCAACCCAGATGTTTGACATGGGTTTTGAGGATCCGATTGGATGATGTTTTTGTTTTGTCTCTCTCTGTTGGATGCTCTGAATAGGGGCCTGTAAACATGTCCACTGTCTCGTCGTGGCTAAGCCCGGGAGGTACGTGCAATGCAACGCAGAAGTAACCGTCCGTGGCAGTGCGCAGACAGCCGAATTAAATAAAGCTCCCATCGCTCCCTCTGCACTGCTTTCACTTAATTTTTTTGGGTACAGAAGAAGGGGAAAAAGATGGACCGACAATATCTTTGTTAGCTTTGCTTGGACGGTAACCTTAATTAGCTTTAGCAGTACCTCCAGTAACCTTAATTTAACAAACATTTGGTACTGCTGTCGGGCTTTGCTTTCGCGAAAGAAGAGAAGCAACGGGAAAAAGGAGAAAAGGCGCTGTTTGGACATCTTTTACGTTACCGTTCTTTCTTGTTTCTTGTTACCCCACGGCCACGGGGACGGGGGTAAAAGTAAAACACACACTCCAGTGCTCAGCTCAGCTCCTCCGGGTGAAAACCGAGGCTCTCTCTCCGGTGGGCGACGGAGAGATGGACCTGGCGTATGGTATGGCACGCCTGTCTCTCTCTCTCTCTCTCTCTCTCTCTTCCCGTGGGCCTGGCACGCGTGGGCGCGGACCACCTGCGCCTGGTCCACCGACCCAAGCATCCCTCTCTCTCTCCTCCGGCTGCGGGAGGGAGGAGATAGAGAGAGAGAGGGGCCGGCTTTAAAGCTGTCGACCCGTCACCTTTTTCTCTCTCTCTCCTCTGTCTCTCGCTCCTCAATTACGACGCCGCACTCCGTCCTAACCAAACCTACCCCAGTGCGCCCGGCGGCGAGGACCGGAGTTCCTCTTCTTCTTCCTCGACGGCGGCAGCGGCGGCTGCGCTGGTAACCAAACCAGCAAGGCCGATCCGATGCTCTCTGGCGGCGACGGAGGGAGGCGCCTGTGAGGGGCGAGGTGTCGTGTCTCCGGGCGGCGCTGCTCTTCCCAGCCAAGGTGAGGACGTCTCTGTCTGCTCGTGATCTAGCTCCGCCGCCGCTGATTAGCCCCGCATTTCGGGTCCCCGTCGATGCAACGATGCGCTAGTTTTTTTTTCGGGTCCCCGTCGATGCAACGATGCGCTAGTTTTGTGGGGGGTAATTTTGGCCACTGTACCACGCACAAGAGCTTTCTACGCGGAACCGAGGGGGTTTCGCTCCACTTTGCTCCCATTGTAGAGGCGAGTGAGTCGCGGCGATCTAGTACGGCATTCTATTGCTTTCTCCCTGATTTGGGAGCCCAGCCGTACCAAATTTGTCCTGCATTTTCGTTTTCGATCTCGCTGCGCGTCCATCCATGTACTCCTAGGTGTGCTAGTTTTGATGCACTCATTTTCCTCACTGGCCCTTCCATTTTTGGTGCAGAGATCTCTGTGAGCTGGAAATTGCAAGTGCGAGCATAAGGAGATCAGCACATTGTGCACATAGCGGCACGATTTAAGACCTGGGAGAACCAGGCTGCTGGTTACTGGGTCCATTTGGTGAGGGAGCAATCTAATCAATGGCTGCGGCAATGGCGATGAGAGGGGGGAGCAGCGACGGCGGTGGCTCGGATAGGGGAGCCGGGATGGACTCCGGGAAATACGTGCGGTACACGCCCGAGCAGGTCGAGACGCTCGAGCGGGTGTACGCCGACTGCCCCAAGCCGACGTCCTCCCGCAGGCAGCAGCTGCTGCGTGAGTGCCCCATACTTGCAAACATCGAGGCGAGGCAGATCAAGGTCTGGTTCCAGAACAGAAGGTAATAACAAAAATTCTCGCTACAATCTTCTAATTCTGGTTACTTTAGTATCCCCTGAGTGATGCCCTGTCAGATCAGAATATATGCCCTGGTGGTATTCTTGTAAAAAAATTGTAGGGCTGTGAACTGTTACATTGCTGTTGTGAACATGACAATTTGTTTTGACATGCAGAGAAATTGTCATGTCAATTGCTTATCTGCTGCTGCATTTCACCTGTACCAAGTCTCTAGTCTTCCTTTTTTTTGTCCTTTTCATATTGTGCTAAGGTGGATGATTACGTTTGGCTGTTACAGGTGCCGAGATAAGCTGCGGAAAGAGTCTTCACGGCTCGAGTCCGTGAACAGGAAGGTGTCGGCCATGAATAAGCTTCTTATGGAAGAGAACGAACGTCTCCAGAAACAGGTCTCCCAGCTGGTTCATGAGAATGCACAAGTGCGGCAGCAGCTGCAGAATGTAAGTCTTTGATGTTGGGCGGTAGGTGTTGTGCTGGAATCTTGTTTATTCACATTTGGTTTTGCATGATGTAATAATACACAATTACTCATTAACATTCATCTTTGCATCGCACATGGCATGCGAGGGAAAGTTCAGTTTCATATGATGCTTTCTACTTGTAAACGAGTATGGCAGTGTACTAGTAGTGCAGTTGGTATATGTTTTAAGGTAGGTGTACCACCTAGAGGTTAGAGTACTTGGGATGTTAGAAATATAACCAGATTGTTCTACGTTTACCGTACTTTTCCTGATAAATCTGCTGATTGAATACAGACTTCAATGGCAAATGATGCAAGCTGTGAATCAAATGTGACCGCCCCTCAAAACCCTATAAGGGATGCAAGTAACCCTTCTGGGTAAGAAAATCGCTCCGGGTAGCTACGAAAGAATTCTTGCTGCCGACCTTACCTTTTCAGAACCATCCTTTCCTGAAACTAGCTTTATTTTCTTGTTCCAGGCTCCTTTCAATTGCAGAGGAGACCTTGACAGAATTCCTCTCGAAGGCTACTGGGACAGCTATTGAATGGGTCCAGATGCCTGGGATGAAGGTTACATGCCAACTCTGTTTTTTTTGTTACACTTATAAGAAGTTCAGAGATAGGCTAATTACGTTCTGTTTTCATGACATTAGCCTGGTCCGGATTCGGTTGGTATTGTGGCCATTTCACATGGTTGCCGTGGTGTTGCTGCCCGTGCCTGTGGTTTGGTGAATTTAGAACCAACAAAAGTAAGTGCTTTAGCTGTTTTTTGGTGCTTACTTTTGAAATTTATTTTACATCAAGCGGGTTTTTTTCCGTCAATATTTATCTGGTGTAAGTATTTTGTGTGCTAGTTAGCTCATTTGCAACTGATTTAGACTTGTTTTTTGTGTGGAACTGTGGATATGGCTATTTGTCGAGGGTCAAAGAAACACAAATGCCATGGAAGACATTGCTGCCAATCTGTTAGTTTTAGAATGGAGTAAAGTTTGATCGGAAGGCAATTCAATACTTATGGCCTTAACTTTGAATTGTGTCGTCTTCTGTAGGATCCTGGAACGTTTTCTCTGATCACTTAGGCTGTGCTACAAAGATAGGATGCCCTCCTTACAATAGTAGGTTGGAATATAGTTTGATCTGAATGCAATGAAATACTTGAGGCCTTAAATTTGAATGTTCTCCTTTTCTACTGGCTCCTCCTACTAAGTAATTTACAGAAAATCAAACTGTCAATACAGCTTATATCTTTGTTAGCTCTTTGTTATGGGTTAAAGAAACACAAATGCCATGGAAGACATTGCTGCCAATCTGTTAGTTATTTACGACAGAGTAAAGTTAGATGGAAGACAATTCAATACTTAAGGCCTTAACTTTGAATAGTGTCCTCTTCTGCAGGCCCCTGGAAAATTTTCTCTGATCACTTAGGCTGTGCTACAAAGATAGAATGCTCTCCTCACGTTAGTAGGTCGTAATACTGTTTGATCCGAATGCAAATGAATACTCAAGGCCTTAAATTTGAATAGTCTCCTTTTTGACTGACTCCTGAAGTAACCACTCAGGTTGTGTAACATACATATATTTTGTGCACTAAGTAATTGCAGAAAATCAAACTGTCAATACAACTTATAATTTGTAAAAGGTAATCAAGAAGTCGTGTCTGATATAACCTGTGTTATGTAGGTTGTAGAGATCTTGAAAGATCGACCGTCTTGGTTCCGTGATTGTCGAAGCCTGGAAGTCTTCACGGTGTTACCAGGTGCAAATGGAGGAACAATTGAACTTGTGTACACACAGGTTGGCATTTAACCATTTTTGGTTGAAATGTTTCTTCAGTCTATCTCCTGATGCACATGGCTCCTGCTGGGAACTCTATCATTTGTTCTTCTATGCAGTTGTATGCTCCAACAACTTTAGTCCCTGCACGTGATTTTTGGACTCTAAGGTATACAACCATAGTGGAAGATGGCAGTCTTGTGGTATGTATGAGTATAAGCATTAAGTTTACTTATTTTAACTCTATTGAATACAAGCTAGGATATGATCTGTTGCTAATGTTCTTCCATCTCTAAGGTCTGCGAGAGATCCTTGAGTGGTTCTGGGGGTGGTCCAAGTGCAGCTTCTGCACAGCAGTTTGTCAGAGCTGAAATGCTTCCAAGTGGATATTTAGTCCGCCCCTGTGATGGTGGAGGTTCCATTGTGCATATAGTGGACCATCTGGAATTTGAGGTCTGATCCCTGCTCTGTATTCTTATGTTTGTATTTTGATGTTTTTTTTCCGGAAAGAATGTCTATGTGATGTCCATCAAACATTTGATTTTGTTTCATCTTTCAGGCATGGAATATTCCTGAAGTGCTTCGTCCACTCTATGAGTCTTCTAGGGTTGTTGCTCAGAAAATGACTACTGCGGTGAGTGTTTAGTGCTTGCAAAGTGTTGCTCTGCTCTATCTATGCATGTACAATTGCATCAGTGCTGATTACAAACTCCTCACTATATGGAAAACCACTTATTCATGAACTCTGAAGTTTTATATTTGATATGTGGTGAAATGATTACGATTTTAAGTCATTAGGAGATCTTGGGAGTTAATTCTCTGCACTATACTTCATACTAAAATTTACTAACTGCACTACATATCAAGGCACTCCGCCACATCAGACAAATTGCTCAAGAAACAAGCGGTGAGGTGGTGTATGCCCTGGGGAGGCAACCTGCAGTACTACGGACCTTTAGTCAAAGGCTGAGCAGGTGAATATGGATCAACTGTTACTCTTTCTACAGTTAATGTGTGCATCTTATTGACATGTTTCCAATGGCATTCTTTACATTTTTCTTAGAGGTTTTAATGATGCCATCAGTGGTTTCAATGATGATGGTTGGTCCATAATGGCTGGAGATGGCATTGAAGATGTAGTCGTTGCTTGCAACTCAACTAAGAAAATTAGGAGCATCAGCAATGGTGTTAATGCTTTCGAAGCCCCTGGAGGTACTATATGTGCCAAGGCATCAATGTTACTGCAGGTAAGGGTGTTCTTAGTTCATTCTGTTGCAATTGACTCATCTTTGTTATTTTGTACGAAAATAAAACTTCTTTTAGTGTTTCAACACTTCAACATCCACATGCACATGATACATTGCCCAGATCTATTTACATTTGATACTGAGATCCTAATTAAATTTCGATGAATGTATGTATGGCTGCGCGCGCTGAAGTTTGGTTTATGAATTTGAGATGTTATAATTCGGCCACCAGTTTCAGGGTTATAATTTAATTGTTTTCTTAACCAATGCTATGTGAAAGGTGATATTGTAGACACTTGTTCGTCATAAGGATATTGCATGCGCCAGATTTGAGTGCTTTAAAACTACTCTGCCCATTTTTTGAAATTTTAATAATTTTTAGATCAACTGAGTTAAATTCTTATATTGCATCTTTCTTCCTTTACTTGATATTGTAGAGTGTCCCACCTGCGATACTAGTTCGATTTCTGAGGGAACATAGATCCGAGTGGGCTGATTACAGTATGGATGCATATTTGGCTTCAGCACTGAAAACAAGCACATGTTCATTCCCTGGGCTGCGTCCAATGAGATTTTCTGGGAGCCAGATCATCATGCCACTTGCTCACACAGTAGAGAATGAGGAGGTACATTTATTGATGTTTCTGTCGTAATCTTGTGCTGTTTCATTTGTGACCTAGACTTGAAAGTAAATTCATTTTGTAGGGTATATATAAACTACTTACTTTTATGTAAATTATTATTTTTAGGGTATATATAAACTACTTACTTTTCTTTTCCCTGATATTGTTACATTGCACATAACTAGTTAGTTTTATTCTCGATATTGCCGTTGCCATATTAGGTGTACCACACCGCTTCGTTAACTTGAGAAAAAGCAAATAATGTGCAGATTCTTGAAGTTGTTCGCCTTGAGGGACAACCTCTTAGTCATGATGAAGTTCTTCTTTCAAGGGATATCGACATGCTTCAGGTGGGAATTTGGACCTCATTACGCCCTATGTTTGTTTGGTGTGTCCTACATTATTTTTGGAAGACGTTTACTAGCATCATACTAACACTGTATCAGTGATTTCTTACTTATATCTTCTGTTTAGTATTGCACCTCGTTAATGTTTGCCTCTGTTTCACTATGCCATATTAGCAAATCTTAGCCTATAAAGTAACCACTAACATAACTATTTTTGTCTGGATATCTGGTTATACCAAGTAGCTTGATACTGTATATTTTGCTAAGTGGAGTAAAAGGTGCAAAACTTTCTACAAGAATGCCAATATCCTGGTCAATGTGATTTCCCGAGGAATCTTGGTTTAATGTGATTTTGAAGTGTTCTATTTCGGGGAAATTTGGCTTAATGTGCTCTTGAAGTCTGCTATTTCTACAATTCCTTTATTCAGTTGGAAGGGTTGCTATTCCACAAACTATTTATACTATGTTCCTGTTGTATTTTTTTTTTTGGTATTTCAGCTTTGCACAGGAATAGATGAGAAATCTGTGGGATCCTCCTTCCAGCTGGTCTTTGCACCAATTGATGATTTTCCAGATGATGCTCCCTTGATTTCATCCGGCTTTCGTGTTATACCACTTGATATGAAAACAGTTAAGCATTTCCACCCACATTACTCCCCTGTTCTAACGTTCTGTAGGTCACCATGTGCTTTATTTGCTATATGTTTCTGTTGATGCAATAAACTGTAATGTATTCTGGATGCCTATTACTAGCTACTCCCACCGTCCCCTAATATAAGAGCGTTTTTCACACTCTGGTCAAGTGTAAAATTGTTCATGGGATAGTATTAACTTTTCTTGGATGATAATTTATTTGCACAAATCCTTCAAATATATACAAAAAAGAAACAATCTTTTCTTTTACTCCCTGTTTCCTATGCTCTGAACAAGAGTTCCTTCATTTTGGTCAATGATTGCTGAGAGCTCTGTTCCAATATATGCATAATTTTTGTGTACTTTGTTTTTTTGTGTGCCCAAGTTTTTATCCATCGGGCCCGTGTCTGTGTGCATCCTTGATGCAGATTCCAGGAGAAATGTGTGCTTCCCTTATCTAAAAGGAAGTTTTTAACCGTCATATTCCACGCAGGACGTTGTATCCTCTGGTAGGACATTAGATTTGGCATCTAGCCTTGAAGTAGGCTCCACTGCAGCCCAAGCCTCCGGTGCATCTTCAGATGATTGTAATGTGCGATCTGTGCTGACAATCGCCTTTCAATTCCCTTATGAGCTGCATCTTCAAGACAGTGTTGCAGCCATGGCCCGTCAGTACGTTCGTAGCATTGTTTCTGCTGTTCAAAGAGTGTCGATTGCTATATCCCCATCTCAATCTGGTCTAAATGCCGGGCAGAGGATACTCTCTGGCCTTCCTGAAGCAGCGACACTTGCTCGGTGGATTTGCCAGAGCTATCAGTAAGTGTATTTGTAATTTTTCTTCCTGTGGCATCAGTCTTAGTCCGACCGCTTTTGATGTTTTTCCATGGCATTTACAAGCTGATAGAATTTTGCTATCCACAGTTACCATCTGGGGGTAGAGTTACTTACTCAATCAGATGTTGCTGGGGAAGCATTGTTGAAGATGCTATGGCACTACCAAGATGCTATCCTGTGCTGCTCTTTTAAGGTATCCGAAGAATCTCAGCAGAAAAATTCAAGCCTGCTCCCACTTCTATGTTCGTCAATTGATCTTGGTCTGATTAAGGAAATTAGTTACTATTAGAAATATACCACTCAACCAATGTCTGAATGCATACTCGAATTTAATAATAACTGATATACTAGTATATTGCTAGAAGAGCATGTAACTTGCTTGTTTCTGAGAATGATGAACAACTTTGGAGTAGACGTTTTGAACTGAAAAAACATCTTATATTTTGGGACGGAGGTAGTATTTTCCATGGGGTTGCTTCAGTGAACCACCTTCTTCGAGTTTGTGAATCTTACAGAAAAGTAGAGGTTTCCCGCGGCCTGTGGTGGCCAGATAATCTCATGTTTCATAGACTTTGACATGCTGAGCAAACCCATGTGATTTTAATTAGGTTCTCACAGTTGCAGTTCTTAGCTCTACAGACTACAGTACATCTTCTGACAACAATGCTGTAATGGTCTTTATTCTGTTATAGGAAGTACCCGTGTTCACATTCGCCAACAAGGCAGGTCTTGACATGTTGGAAACTTCCCTCGTCGCCTTACAAGACCTGACATTGGACAAGATCTTTGATGAACCTGGAAGAAAAGCATTATTCTCTGAGATCTCAAAGTTGGTGGAAGAGGTATAACTTCTTTCTCGCCCCTTATTTACATAGCATGGTTATTTGCACGGGATATAAATACAGTTTCGCGGCAACTGCCAAGTTAAATCACTAAAGCCTGCACTTGCTAGAAGTCAGCTAACCTTATTTTCTATCACAAACTGGACCCGTGGCCAATGACCATTTCTCTAAATTCCATTAACTCACTCACTGCACACAGCACATCAACTCCCCCCTTCCCAGGGGTGTCCAACTCAATCCAGTTGGCCCATTAACCGTCTCTTTCGAGCTTTTGATGGTGGAAAACCAACGCCATCCACCTGCACTGCAGATTGTGCTTCAGTTCAAGCCCTCAGTATGCAATGTTGCTAACCAGTTACTACTGTGCTTTGTTCGTCGTGTACTTGCAGGGCCATGTGTACCTGCCATCAGGCGTGTGCATGTCGGGGATGGGCCGGCACGTCTCCTTCGATCAGGCCGTGGCGTGGAAGGTGCTCGGCGAGGACAGCAGCGTCCACTGCCTGGCCTTGTGCTTCGTCAACTGGTCCTTCGTGTGATGTACCAAATGCTGCCGCCGGGCCGGCGGGGTGATGTATGACGAGCAGATAGATACAGTTTTTGGTGGGAAAACAAATTGATACTCCTAGTATTGTTTGTAGCGTTAGCTCTTCTAGGCGTGGGGTCTAGTACATCTATGAAACTCAAGTCGTGATCATGTACATTTTGATCTCAGCGGCATCTATCTGAATTCAATAGCCAGGCAGGCAGGGAGAGGCCATCGCTGCAGCAGTGTTGCTGCATTCATCTCGCCGTCCAACGACCCGCAGCCGTTGTCGGAGTGTGGCACGATGGGCGCCGCGGCGGCGGCGGAGGAGCCGACGGAAGTGGCCCCAATGTGGCATGCACCTCCACGGAACAAATCGGGGCATGGCAGCGGGTGGTGGGCTCTGGTGACGGTGGTAGTCTAAGGCTCTGTTTGGTTCAGCTTTTATTGATAGATTCCGCTGCCGCGCAGCAGAATCTGAACCAAAGGGCGAACTCAGCAGAATCCGATTCCAGAAATCCGCTGTCAAAATCTGAACCAGGAAGCAGCCCAGGATGTGCTTTTCAAAATCTGATTCTGTTGCGGGTCAAAATCTGAAAAAGCTGTATCAGCTGGTTTGTCAAATGACCTACATCTTTTTCATATTAGATTTTCCATAGCTGTTTTTTCACAGCAAATTTTTTACATCTATTTTTAGAAATCCACAGCCGAACCAAACAGGATCTAAGGGTCCATCGTTTAGAAACCCTACTACTGAGTTCATCCCAGTGAAAGTGGCCATAGATCATGTGATGGATGGTTCAGTTTGGACTTTGATCAAGTTTGAGAGGCATCTCCCGCGCCTGACAGATTAGATTCACTTGCACCGTGTGTCAATTCTTTTTAGGGGCGCTGCGTGTCATGCCATTTTTTTAGAGCGGTACGTGTCATGCGATTGGGAGCTCCTATTCGGTGCTTCAGGAGCAGGCGCCCATGATTGGAAAATAACTGAAAAAAATAACAAAACTAAAAAATTCCTGAACTAAAAAAAGTTCAAAGATTAAAAAAGCACATGCACGCTAACGGGTGCCTGCCCATGCGATGCTCGTACCCGCGTAGCGCCATGAAGGTCGTGGGTCGACAAGTTGTGACCACGCCAACTTCTCGCACCGTGTACATGCGTGGGCCGACAAGTTGTGAAAACAAACACAGCAGTACGGGCACTCTCGCAGTCACTCCAAAGTCATCATCCGACACCTAGGTTCACGATATCCTCATGGTCTAAGGACATAATTAATGGCTAATACTTTATACGAAAAATACCGATAACATATTGATGACATGATCTAAGAGTATTTCATAAGGCTGATCATAGTGACACTAGTCTAAGTTACTACCTTCATAGTGCAAAATAACATAGTAGTAGTGTTATAGATGACTTCATTTATTAGCTTGTAGACTCATCTTGTATTGGAAGGCGCTATGTTACAGTAACATATTATGTTACTATTTCTCATTAACTACTTGCCACATAAGCAAAATTTTTTTGGAGTGTGCTATGTTACTCGCTAAGTTACTCCCACTATGACCAGCCTAAGTTAGGTCAATCCAACATCGTCGTTACTCTAACAATGTGTTCTCATTATGTCAACATCCTCGTTACATTAATGATGCTCATGGTTACGAAAACAGGACCATTCTCATGGAAAAAAGAAAACATGATCTTTAACAATACAGGAGCTAGTCCAGAGGCCCGACTAGGGATTCAATTCGTGTTTATCTTTTCACACATGCAAATAGTTTTTCTTTCAAATCTCACATTCATTACAGTTATAGCACGAAAATATAAATTCAATTAACATGAAAATAGAGTAATAACAACTTTATTATTGCCTCTAGGGCATATTTTCAAGGCAAAACACTATTACACTAGTATGGCGCAACGAGTAGTAAACGAGCGTGCCAAAGAGAATCGCACCGGCGAGTGTCACAAACACATACCAATGTCTTTTTGCCTCTTGTCACAAACAGGTACCAATTTGAAGTGTTTCCTATGGAAGAACCAATGAAACCTATGAAACTAGAGCAACATCAAACTCATCTCAGCATCAAGCTCCGAGTCTATAGGAAGCACACGAGAGGTGATCTCCTGACATATCACGATGTTGGTTGGTTGACAATGATCAAGTCGTCCCTAGCGTCCATACTTGTAGGAAAGTGGAGAGATGTTTATTTCCCGGGTTTTTTAAGGGGAAAAAAAGTACTAGAGCGGGAAAGTGGGACGGGACATAGATAAGTTGCACGAAAAATTTATGTGAGCATGGCCGCGGAGCAGGCAAGCCACCCGCATCCATCAATCACCTCATCTCTGAAAAGCATTAATTAATGCTCTAGAATCTAGATTCAACTTGGACGAGGAATAGGTCAAATTCAAACCGGGCATTGTCTTTTTTTAGCGAGGATCGGGTATGTTGGACACTATGCTTTTTTAGTGTATCATGAATTTCTTATGATAGAAAATTGGCATTATCCCTACTAGTTCATCTTGGTTTGAGTGAAGTGTTTGAAGACGATCCAATGTCGTTCTTCTTTTCGGATCAACGATGAGGTAGATTTTTTCCCCACTCCTCGTATTGTGTGCGTCTTTTTGTGTGTGGCAACATCGGCCCGGTAGGAGGCACAATTGAGAGGCCTACCACTGATAAAGCCGGCTGTTTTTTCTTTGAGGGAAGATAAAGCCGGCTGGTGAAGATGCACTAGGGGCCATGTTTTTTGGGGCTGGAGTAAAACCAACTCGGGTTTGTTTTGGGCTACATCGGCTTCAATAAAGCTACAGTTTGAAGCTGAAATTTAAATTCTTAGAAAACTGCCTTGTATACCGGATTATCTCTAGCTTTGTTTTCTACTAATCCAGACAATTATTTATTGCCAAGATCCAAGAATTATTAGGGAACACTTGCTTCAGTCAATCTCGGCTGTTGGATCTTTGAAACTATTATTGATGACTTATTCAAGGTATATAAAGGTGACTCCTTGCTTTCTACCAAATGTTCATACTGACCACGCCCTCACAGAAGAAGCCCATATGCCAACTGGCTACACACCGAAACCGATCGAGTAGAATTTGAACTAGCTATTATTATTTCACGCTAATCTTCAGAAAAAAAAAGCCCTTCGATCTGTGCATGCATGCATCACGCTGACAGAAATGGCGAATGTCTGCACGATGATCAAAACTCTAGGCGATCCGTCTCCCAGTCCAGCCCGGACTATACCATGTCACGGTAAGGGCGCCGTAAGGCACATACCCCTCGGGATCAAATTTTTTTTAAATGACAGAATTTCTACATTTATTAAGAAGAAAAGAGTTGGCGTTAATTAAGGAAAATCGAGCGGAAACCAGATTGCCCAGTTAAAGATGGAGATCCGGGCAAAAACCATCATAACCACTAAGCAACACACATAAAAAAACCCCACACAAACCACTTTAAAGAGGGATTCGTCGAGACAGCACACATGCGTCATCATCATCCCTCCTTCCCTAGAGGCGTCATCGTCATCCCTAAACTCAGAGCAAATGACTCCAACTTTTCCGTAGACGATCATCGACACAACCCACACCATAGCGGACGCGTGAAGTTGGATGAAAATCTCCGCCAAAACTCAGCCACCTGCAACCAGCAGACAACGTAACTCTGACTCTGATGGAGAAATCCAAAGGACACAACCAGGCACGTCTGGCGCCACAAAAGATTTTTCGAACGGGCCACATGCAGCTACTCATCGTATACCACATGGCCCCGCCACCTCAACATCGACTCCACATCAACAAGCAAACCGAGACAATCTCGCGGACACGTCGGAGAAGAGCCAACTACCGCAATCATTGTCGCATCGCCGACATCAAACCCACCATCATGGTTGCCACAGAAGCCTGGATGCCACAACCACCGGTCCCGCTTACTCATGCCGAGCCCCGAGACAAAGCCCCAAAGAGGGAAAACAACACACCAAAGCGCTGCTATCGTCTGATCGAAAGATCAAGGGTTTCCTCTAGAGAGGCCGGAATGGCCGGATCCGTGCGGGAGGGATGCAATAGCACAACACCGATGCCTCTAGGAAGGTCAACGACAGCCACGGTCGCCGCCATTGATGGTCACGACACAAGGCAAGATAGGGTCTTCACCCAAGTTACCACACCACCTCAGTCACACATCATCCCGCACCGACGCCAGGAAGACCACCAACCACCGCCTGCCATGAACCAGCCCGTCGGTGAAGAAGTTCAAAGCACCCATCGGAGCCAACCACACCTCACGGAGACCACCGACAAGATCAGTCCATGCCCGCCTAGGAACCAGTGCCACCGGACGCGGTACCAGCCACAACACCCAACCAAACACCATGCCAGCGAGGGAGCATGGAGCACCGCTCGAGGCCGAGAACCACCTCGGTTCCCCGCCGCAGCCCTAGGCCAGACGCACCGACGTACAACACCACGTGCACGCCGGCAGCCCGAGACAACATCTGCTGCAGCTGCAGCTTCCGCACCGGAGACGGGCCGATTCGCTGGGCGCACCCAACACCCCTCGCATGCTTGCGCTGCGCATCCACAGCGCGCCCACACCAAGCCTCGTCCGCACCTGCCATCACATGCCCGCGGAGACGCCGTGCCTCCTATACAGCTGGTCGTCCCCTCACGGACCACCCACAGCGGAGCTATGTGCACCCACGCAGCACCCCACGTCACCAGATCCGCGTGCCCCCTTCCGACCGCGCCCGAACGCGCACCGCCTGCCACTAGATCCGCGCTGGCCGCCCCTAGTGTGCCCACGCCATGCCCTCCCTGCGCGCACGCGCCCCCGCCGCGGCCGCATCAGCTGACTACACGTAGACGCGCACGACGCCCCGAGCCACACCACGCCTCCTCCGCAACAACCGTCTTCTTCTCCCACCACCCTGTGCATGCGGAATCCATGCTCCAACCACTCCACGATGCTGCCGGTCTTCTTGCCCGCCAGAGTCGCGCCTGCGCCCGCCCAAGTCCACCTTGCCAGCGCGCTAGATG